TCCCCATCCCAGAAGAGACGCATTGGTACCGATGGTTATCGATGGGCATCAGGGCCTGAAGGGAACCCCAACAGTCAGATTGACTGGGACCAACCACCATAGTAGAGAATGGAGCACTGAGGATGGAACTCGAAGCAACTTCGACGGTAGATCTCTCTGTGGATGGAACACTTTGTTGAGAAATAGCTGCAAAGGATGAAGTCGAAGTCTGGCGTGTGGTACCACAGCAACGGAGGAAACCCTAGAAGCCTCTGGATGGACTTCACTGGAACCGTCCTGTCTCGTCGCATTCGATGGATGTGGCGAGCGAGAGTCAGTTGTCTGTCCTGAGGGAGGAAGATCTTTTCCAACGTCGAATCCAAATGGGCTCCGATGAATGTAAGCTTCTGTACCAGAAGAAGAGAAGATTTCTCGGTATTAATGCATAGGCCCAGATCGCCCAATAAGGCACAGGTAATACAGATGGAAGTGAGGAGTGCTTCCCTAGACCTGGAGACCAGGAGCCAGTCATCAAGGTAAAGATAAACCTGTATGCCCTGGAGACGTAGGAAAGCACAGACAGGGGCCATGCATTTAGTGAACACTCTCGGGAGCGGTGGCCAAACCGAAGGGTAGAACCGTAAATTCATACAAATCGGAAGCAACAGCAAAGCAAAGGAAACGCCTATAATTGGGATGGATCGCAATATGGAAATAGGTGTCCTTCAAGTCCAATGAGGCAAACCAATCCTCTTTCCTTAGCAGCGGCAAAATATTTTGGAGGGTGGTCATTTGAAACTTTTTCGTCACGATGAATCGATTCAGATTACTTAAGTCCAAAATCGGACGTAGGCCACCATCCCGCTTGGGGACTGTAAAATATCTGGAGTAGAATCTGTGAAGTCCATCATGTTGAGTTATTTGACGTATCGCTCCTTTACGAAGAAGCTGTTGTATTTCATCGAGCAATACCGGCGAGCATGATGTAAACCGGATCAGACTCGATGGAGGAACGCTGTCGAATTCTATCCAATAGCCGTGCTGTATGATGGACAATACCCACTGCTCAGATGTAATGGACTCCCAAATGGGGAGTCGGCTTCGCAGCCGGTCCCCAGATGAGAGGGGGGTGGGTATGGGATGGGTCAGAGGAATGGTTCGCCAGTCCCGTCAATGCTACCCCCTATCTCTGTCATAACGGCGGCAGTCCTGTTGGTAGCGTTGTTGGGGCTGTTGACGGCGGCGTTGTTGTTGCTGCTGCCTGTGCTGGGGCTGTTGCCTGGACTGGTAATGTCTATAGGGCGGATGGGTCCATGCCCACTTACGCCTTGGTTGAGACTGAAGCTCCATCTGTTGGGCTGTCGTGCGGGACTCATGGAGTTTTTTGAGCTTTTGGTCAGTCCTGGAATGGAAAAGCCCGGACCCATCAAAGGGCATTTCCTCAATTCGGTGCTTAGTCTCCGGGAAGTTGGCACTCCTCAACCACGCATGCCTGCGAAGAGAGACAGCACCGACCAAGGCTCTTGAGTGGGTGTCCACATGGTGCCTGGCTGTGGACAACTGTTGAACGGTGACCTGCATCGCCTCCTTTATTAGCACCTTGGCCAGGTCGCCCTGGTGGTCTGGGAGGGTCGAGATGACGTTGTGGAGGTGTTGCATTATAAAGTACTGGTACCTCGCCAACGTCGCCTCGTAGTTCAAAATACGCAGACCCAGGCCTGAGGCTGCGTAGACTCTCCTGGCCAGGGAGTCGATCTTACATCCCTCCTTATCCCTCGGAGCGGTGTGGCCTCTTGCCTCTCTACCCTGGGAGGACTCCACCACGACTGAGTTCGGCTTGGGGTGGCAGAGGAGGAATGGAATGTCCTCCTCCCGAACCCGGTACATGGATTCGTACCTCCGCGATGTGGGTTGAGGGTGAGAAGGCAAGTCCCAGGGTTGCGTCATTGCCCGCCGTAGGGTGGTGATCAAGGGCAGGACGATCGAGGTGGACTGCTCCCTGCGGATGTCGTAAAACTTGTCCGTCGAAGGTCCCAGACGCTGGACAGGGTCGATATCAAGGGACTGGACAAGCTGGAACATCAGCTCCACGAAGGAGACGTGAGACTCGTCCGGTGACGCAGGGCCCTGGGAGGTCACAGTGACGTCAGGAGAGGTTGAGTCGACGTCCGAGTCATCGGAGTCCGCACCATAATATGGGGGAGCCAAAGAAGAGGACTCCACCAGCGAGATGGACCAGCTACTTTCATCCCAAGGAATTGGGGACGCGCGCCTCGGGTCCAGGGACAGCGGATGGTCGCGGGAGGGTGGTGAAGACCGATCCCTAGGTGCGGGATAGTACCCGGTAGAGTGTGGCTCGCCCCAGGATGGATAGTAGGAACGATGCCATCCCTCGGATTGCTGTTCCCTCGAGCAACTCCTGCAGACCCTAGGCAGGGATATCTCCACATCCGCCTCCATAGTGGCTACTGGCATAGGCATGGGCGACCTAGCCCTGGGGGGACAGTCTTGAATTTCCCCATCAGAAATTGACCCCCGCTGAAGAGTTGGAAGCGGCTCGGTAGGAAGGTCAGCCACATGTCGAGGGGACCCTTGGGGGGTGACCCTCATAGCCGCCTGGAGTACTGGATTAGGTGGAGTTGGTACAGTGGCTGCCGTTGGTACCGAGGGGGCCGTCGAACCCGAGTCACAATGCCGTGGGCGCTCCGGATCCTTCAACTTCTGAGTCGGTTTTGGAGGCTTCTCCTTCCTGGCCTTCTTGGCTGATTTGTCAGTATCAGCATGCTTATGCTTCTCACGCTTTTTCTTCGGAGAAGCAGGTGGGGCCCCCATGGTAGACGTGCCTTCGTCCGAAGGGCGTGAGGGCGGGACCACCGTAGTAGAGCCAGGCTCCGGAGTGACGACAAGTGGGTTGGACTGCATGAGAGCCCGATCCCACAGAAGCCTCCGGAGGCAGTTCTCACGATTTTTCCTGGCCTGCTTAGAGAAGGCCAGGCAGTGAGAGCACTTGTCAGTCCTATGCCCCCCCCCACCCAAGCAGAGGAGGCAGAGGTCATGTGGGTCAGTCGGAGACATCTTCGACCCGCATTCCACGCATTTGCGGAAAGCTGCCTGCTGCGCCATCGTAAGAAAGGGAAAAAAGAAGACAGTGCAGAGGGTAAGAATATATTTTTGGTTTTTTTTTTTAATAGAAGATCGAAAGGAAGGTAGAATGATAGAACTACAGAACTAACAAGAACTATAAGAGGCAACAAGAACTAACAGGGATATAATAACTGGGAGAATAATTGAGAAGAAGTAGTAACTATACGAGTAACGGTCAGAGCGATAGTCGAAAGCGGCACGAGGCACAGTGAACGGCAGTTGCAAAGACTGAGCAAAATGGCGGACGCTCCGCTCTTTATAGGCTGTGGGGGAGGGGGAGCGGAGCTTTCCCGCCAAAAACTGTTAGCTTGTAATCTTCCAGCCAAAGGCACTGTGCAGGTGCAGCACCCATATGTGTGATGCACAGAGGCCACGACGAAGTAACATTAAGAATTTGATCTATGGTCAACCCTGGAACGAGGATATGCAAGTTAAAATTTTGCACTGAATGATTAATGGAGTATTGGTGAATGAAATGTTAATGTATGTTTAAGAATCTGACCCTAATTTGTTCTCAGAGAAGGAAGAGCAGCTGAGCTGGCAGTCACAGCAGGGATAAAATGTTTTTTAAATGTATATGTATTTCTGTGTGCACTTCTCTTAATACATACAAATGCTTGACTAATATGTGTATTTTGCAAGCTATTATATAATATTTTGTGTGCTTTTCGTGAATTGATGCAATTTTTTTCATACTTTCTGCTAACATAAGCTTATTGGTTCAACATTTTTGCCTGGAGAATTGTACTGCAAAATTCTGAAAAGCAACAAAAGATAACTGAATTCTGCCTCACATATTCATTTGGGAAGTGCGAATCTCAAATTGATATATTCAAAATGCAAGCTGAGTGAGACTTTTACCCATCCCTACATAAAAGTCACTTTTGTTTTTTACATGCTCTTATAAATGTTATTCTCACTATAAATCTTTCTCTGTGAAAGTACACCTTAAAGAGCGATCCTAAACTTAGATATGCCATACCCACAGGAGACTGCGTGCAATAGACACTGAATTTGAAAGATCAACAAGATAAAATCTGAACCATGTAGAGTCTATAAACCACAGTACTTTAAAAGCACACAAGATAACATGATGCACAGCAGAAAACATATGTGAAGAGTGGATACTTTTTTTGCAGTTTGCTGTTTTCACAGTTTTCATTCTATGGGAACATTTTTGTATTCTTATTTTAGTTTTTTTATGTATAGGGTAAAAGGTTGTTCACAAGAAAGAATGCTTTCTAATCTGGTGGATGCAAAAATGATTAAAAGATTACCCTTTAAATGTAATAAACCAGCAGCTCAATTTCAGGCTAGAAAATACAGGGTCCCCATCCTGTGTCCAGTATATAGATAGGATCTATACATCTCATACATTTTCTTCCTTTATACAACTGACAATGAAACTAAAGTACTTCTGAATCAATGCTGTGTAGAGAGTGTATGCAGATATATGAAGGCTCAAAGTTCACTGTGACTTACACAGAATTTGTTCTGGATGTCAATGCTCAGGCATGGGAAACAAAGTAAGAGCCCTCAGCATGGAGAGAATTACTTTCACAAGTGGTTCCCATCTATCTGGGATTAAGATGCATACCCTCAGCTGACGAATTTTGGCCTCAGATAGTCTGCCAATGGATTTTAGCCATGCTTCTTAAGGAACAGACTAAGGAGACATACATCTAGAGCAGAAGCCTTCAGTCTTTCAGATCTTCCACCATATATGCTATATGGAACACATGTCCCTTTAAAAAAATACCACAAATCCCTCAGCTTATTGACCTCTCTTTCTCTCATCCTATTAAAGTATTTTCATTCCTCCTCCCCCAGTCTTCTGTTTTCTCTTTTTCATTAACAGAGTCTTTTGAATACAACACTGAGTTCCTCTCTTCCTTTATTTAAATCACACAGTCAAGGAGTTCTGCATATTTCTTTAAGTTTTTACATAGGTGAATGAAATAGAATATTCAAAAATATTTAGAAAAAGGAAACATGATACAAGAGGAAAAATCTACTTTTGCAAAAGGAGCAGTTTTAGCTTTCTTGTTTTCCCCTGTTGCCTTATTAGAAATGACAATACAATTTATGCTGATTATTTTTAAAAAAACAACAACAACCACATACACCCAATTTTCCAAAATAAATATTGAAGCCATAGCATATTTTTATGGTTGAAAGTATTTTTCAAGTGCAACTTGGCCAGTAAGTATATCCTTCAAGGCTCAGATATTTTCAGTGCCATCCATCATTTCTGCTCTGATATGTCACATGTGGAAAGGTGTCTACCCAGGCAGTGGTTAAGGTCCTTCTTTTGGCAGCACACCAGAATGTGTTAATTCAAGTTCTTCACTGCACATATTCATCGGTGCTGGAGCAGGAAGTTAGTGGCTATATTAAGGTCATTATTTGAAGCCCTCAGAGCTTCCAAAGCATCTAACCGGGAAAATCCCATTTCCATGAGCCGTGCAACCTGCCGGAGAAATAACAAGAGGTTATTGCTGTATTGTTCATTTTGCAAAAGCTTACAAAATGAGTGGCTTACTAAGCAGAATACAGCATACTAACCTTCAGTTTTTGCTGTGTGCATTGGACTACAAAACAGACACCCAGTAAGTCAAAATACATTGCTGAGGGGCTGTGTTTGGCTAATTTTGTAACAGCAGCATGTTTCAAGAATTCAACCAGCCACCCCGAGGCTCTTTGCGAATGGGGCAGCATACAAATGTTTTAAATAAATAAATAAACAAACCAAGCAGCCAACATAATTGCATGCTTTAAAGAACTATTTGAGACTAGGTGAAGTTACCAAAACATAGGAATCCCATAAAATTGCTATCCTTCTTGTAATTTAGATATCTGAAGGCCAGTTCAACTGTTTAAAGGCCTCATGTGATACATGCCTCCCATAGCATTGAACTGCCTCTATTTCATTTGGAAACAGCTTTGTAGAAAACACAACAGCAGGAATGTTGTTTCCTATGTCAGAATTTAAATGTTGCTTTTGCAGTTTCCAAGTGCTATAGGAACTGCAGTAACATCCCTTCTTGCACCATTTGAGTAATATGAAAAACTTTGCATCATATGAGAGTTTCCACACTGTAGCCAATGTTTTAGTTTCTGCAGGAGTGATACAAGAAGGGGGAAGAGTTGCTGCTTGAGTTCTTTACTGCCATCTGGGTCATTTTAGTGCTTCCTGGAGGAATGGAAAGAAGCATCATTCCTGTTCCTGACTCCTAGCAGAGCAGAGCAAGAGCAGATCGCAGCAAGCTGCTCCAGTTGGTCTAGGGCCTCTGGGATATAAGCAGCCAAGCTCCTAGGGAGCAGGCGACCAGAAAGAGCAAACAGGCAGAGCAAACAGGAGTTGTAGCAGAAGAGACGGCAGAGACAGGCAGAAGCAAGGCAAAGAGACAGGCCTGCACTAGCTCAGCCTAAAGTCTTGTTTTTCTAAGACAATTGAAGGGAAGTTCCAAATTAGCTGATTAACTGAAGGGCAGTGGCCTCTTCAGTTAGCAGCAGTTGTGTGGGAGGTGTGATTCATTCTGGTCCCTGACTTCTAGCAGTGCAGAGTACATCAGAGCAAGCTGCCCCAGTTGGTCTAGGGCCCCTGGGATATAAGCAGTCAGACTCCCAGGGAGCAGGCGACCAGAGAGTTTGGAAGAGGAGTTTGGTCGGGGAGCTCAAGGGGGAGGTTTCTAACATTTTTCCCCATTTGTTTCTCTTCTTTATTCCACCTTAATTCCAGCCCCCTTGCACACACACTAACACTTATTTGTCTTCTTCCTTGTAACACACTCCCATTTACTAGAAAGACTGTGTTGCTAACCTTTAGTGAAGAAAGGAGAAAGCGCCAGTTGTCACAACAGCCCTTCAAGATAGAATCACTAAGGTTGCACGAACAATGGACCGAGGAGGCTCCACAGTGGCGGTGGCCTGCAGCAACTGTGCACTGTGTGCTTTCTGACTTGAGAGCAACATGGGCTGCACATGCAATAGCTGCGGGCTAGTAGCTCTGTAAGAAGAAAAGGTAAGAATACTGGAGCAGCGAGTGTCCACCCTCAAGGTAATAAAAGAAAACAAAGATTTTTTACATTGAGCAGTGGAGTGGCAATAGCTAAATGTAATCCAGAAGCAAGAGGAGCATCAACAAGCTGAGGCAGAAGAAGGGAACCCTGAGGGAAGGGAAAAATGAGGAAACTTGCTGGAACAGGGTGACAGTTAGAGGCAGAATACCTTCAAGACTTGAGTTACTTGAGGAAGAGACGTGTGAGAAACTCACTGTGAAAGAACTACATGACACACTGTGTAACCCTGAAAAAGAGACAAAAGGCCAATCAAGAAAGGAAAAGGGTACCAAAGTCTGCAACAACGAAAGTGCTAGTTGTGGGAGATTCCCTCTTGCACGGAATGGAAAAATATGTGCATCACAGTGACCACGAGAATCGTCAAGTCTGCTGTCTCCCCGGTGCCAAGATTAAAGATCTAACCAGTAAGTTCACACATTTTATACAACTTTATGCTTTGACAACTGCCCCTTCCTTCTCTTCCACATGGGAACTAATGACACTGCCATGAGAACCTTTGCTGAATTAATATCAGAGTTTGAAGCACTAGGGAGGAAAATAAAAAACACTGGGGTCCAGATAATCTTCTCTCTAATCCTACCAGTACATGGAAGAGGAGCTGTTAGGGAAAGAAAAATCCTTCAAGTGAATGACTGGCTATGATGGTGGTGCCAAAAAGAGAGATTTGGATTCTGGGACCACAAGCTAAGCTTCCTGGAAGATGGACTCTTGACAAATGATGGGCTGCACTTCAAAAATAACAGGAAGCAGATGTTTGGCCACTACATGAAAAAGTTCATCAGGAGGGCTTTAAACTAAACATATAGGGGAGGGAGATGTGCAGCATGGCATACCATCCCCTGGCAAAGACTTATATAGAAACACAGAAACAGAGCGAGTCAGAAGGGTCCTCCCGGGCCATCTAGTCTGACCTCTGGCACCAGCCAGCTCCGTTCAATATATTTATTTTCTCAACAGAGAAAAAAACTCAAGCAGGGCCCAACACCAATCTCCCAAAAAACGTAGGAAGAAAACCAGGGCACAGCAAGAATGAACTTCGATGTCTCTGCACCAATGCCTAGAGTATGGAAAACAAATAGCATGAACTTGAACTCATAGTACATGAGGGCTATTATGATCTTATAGAAATAACTGAAACCTGGTGGGATGACTCACATGACTGAAACTCTACAACTGATGGACACGACATGTTTAAATAAAATAGAAAGGATAAAAAGGGAGGTGGAGTTGCACTATATGTAAGATGCACATATATCTCACAGAATACAAGAAGAGGAACTTAGTAGTTCCATTGAACGCATCTGGCTTAATTTAAAGGGAGCAAAAATTAATAAATACATATTTATTGATATTTATTACCGACCATTCAGTCAAAGAGAGCGCAAGGATACAATCTTTGAAAAGCAACCTGCCAGCCTTTTCAAGAATGATGGGGGACTTCATCATGGGGGAATTCAATTTCACTTATATATTCTGGGAGACAAATTCTTCCTAGCATGCCCCTCCAAGAGATTCCTGACATGCATTGCTGACAACTTTCTCCAGCAGAAAGTAGAGGAATTTATGAGAGGATCAGCTATTCTTGATTTAATATTAATAGGGATGGCCTGGTGGACAAAATAACAACCATGGGAACTCTGGGGCAAAGTAACCATGCAATACTTGCTAAGAATAACAAGAAAGCCTTCTTCAGATACATCTAGAACAAAAGACTTGAGAAAGAGAAGGGTGTCCAGCTACTTAAAGTGGATGGAAGAGTGATAACAGACAAGGAAAAGGCAGAGATGCTCAATTCCTACTTTGACTCAGTCTTCTCTTACAAGAAAATCTACAACCAAGAGGAAGCACAGGCTGAAAGTGAGAGATGGAAGCCCAAGACTGACAGACAAATGGTCAAAGAATACCTAGATGGAATAAACACGTTCAAATCTCCAAGACCCAAAGAACTACATCCCAGAGTCATAAAAGAGCTAGTGGAGGAACTCTCAGAACCACTGGCTATTATCGTTGATAAATCTTGGAAAAGAGGAGAAGTGCCAGATGACTCGAGAAGGGCTAAAATTGTCCCTATCTTCAAAAAGGCGAAAAAAGATTAAACTGGGAACTACAGACTAGTTAGCCTGATGTCAATCCCTGGAAAAATTCTGGAGCAAATTATTAAAAAATCCATTTGCAAGCATCTTGAAGAAAATGCAGTGCTTAATAGAGCAAGCATGAATTAATAAAAAATAAATTCTGTCAAACTAATTTGATATAATTTTTTGACTGGGTAACCTTCCAAAAGGACAGAGGGAACATTGTGGACATAATCTACCTAGACGTTAGCAAAGCTTTCCACATAGTGCCCCATGACATTCTGATAAGCAAATTAGTAAAAAAACAGACTAGATAGAAAAACTTAGGTGGATACAAAATTGGCTATTGAATTGGACACAAAGAGTGCTCATCAATAGCACCTTCTCAAATTGGATGGAGGTAACTAGTGGGGTGCCACAGCGTTCAGTCCTGGGCCCAGTGCTCTTCAACATCTTTATTAATGATTTGGATGAGGACGTAAAAGGAAAGATAATCACATCTGCAGACAATACAAAACTTGGTGGAATAGCAAACACCCCAGAAGACAGAATGAAGATCTAGGGCAATCTTGATAAACTTGAACTCTGGGCTGAAACAAAATGAGATTCAATAAGGACAAGGGACAAGTCCTCCACCTAGGAAAAAGACACCAAATGCATTGATACATGATGCAAAATATATGACTCAACAGAACTGAAAAAGAAAAAGATCTCAGAGTAATTGTGGACAACAAGCTAAACATGAGCCAACAATGCAATGCAGCTGCCAAAAAGGCAAATGCTATTTTGGGATGCATTAACAGAAGTATTACTTCCAAATCATGAGAAGTAGTAGTTCCTCTATACTCCTCACTAGTCAGACCTCATCTGGAATACTATGTCCAGTCCCAGGCACCAAGATTTAAGAAAGATGCAATAAAATTAGAAAGGGGCCAGGGGAAAGCAACAAAAATAATCCAGGGTTTTGAAACACTGCCCTATGAAGAGAGACTTAGAGAACTGAGCATGTTCAGCCTTGAGAAGAAAAGACTGAGGGGGGACATAATATCCCTCTATAAGTACCTCAAAGCCTGTCACAAAGAGGAAGGTCAAGATCTCTTCTTGCTGGTACCAGAGTGCAGGACACGGAATAATCTAGTCAAGCTGTGACAACACCGATTCTGGCTAGATATCAGGAAAAGCTTCCTCACTGTCAGCGAAAAAGGACAGTGGAACCAGCTGCCTAGAGAGGTGGTGGGCTCTCCCACTCTAGAAATACTCAAAAAGAAACTAGACAGTCATCTGAGTGGGATGGTATGAACTCGTGACTTGCA